TGGTTGGTTGATCTGCTCGGTCTGGTTGGCTGGTTGATCCGCTTGGTCTGACGTGGTTGTTCCACTTGATCTGGTTGGTCCGGTTGGTCTGGTTAGTTCACTCGGCAGGGTTCTGTCGGATCCCATCTCGGCTTGTTGGTCTCATCGGTGTGTTCGCGCAGGTTCTTCCTCTGGTCTGGCTGGTTCGGCTGTTCGTGTTTGCTCAGTTCGCTTGGTTGGTCGAGCCTGGCCGGACGAGTATTTCATCTGGTCTGCCTGGTCTGGTCTGCCTGGTCTGGTCTGGTTGGTTGGTTGGTTGGTTGGTTGGAGATCGCGTGAGGGGGAGGGTGGAGGCTTGGAAAGAAGGGTGGGGCAGGAGAGGGCAAAAGGGAACACGAGAAGACGGAAGATGCACTCCGCTTCGTGGGGCCGAGGCGCCCTCGGCATCTGGGCCAGCTCCGAGATCGCACGAAATGATGTGATCCTGTAAGGACTCATGCGATCAGAGCAACAGGCCCACGACCAAACTGGAAGACAGGGCCTCGCGTGGCCAGAGTTCACATGAGCTCATGTGTAAAATGAGCGCAAACTGCGAACGGACTGAAGGGGTTCACTTTGCTCCCCTTCTCTCTCACACGCCTGCTCGCGCACCCGCCCGCTCGCCCGCCCGCCCACCCAGCCCGCACGCACCCCTGGTGAGTCGGGTCGGCAGGTGGGGTGGGCGGGCCGGTCGGGCGGGGGTGGGGTGGGGGGCTGGGGGGGGGGATGGGGGAACTCAGGCGGTAGCCCGGGGGGAAACTTCTCAAAGGCCTGGAGTCCGCCAACTAAAATCGATAGCTACGGCATAACAAGCCATCATCTGGTCCAGCTCTGTCCCATCCCGGTCTGGCGCGGACAGCTCCAGCCATCGTCTTGGCGCGATGCTCTACACCAGATAATGTCAAGAACGGCCGTTTAATCAGCAGCAGCAATATCAAGACACTCAATTGTGAACTCCAAATCAGAATGCGGCAATATCCCCCATTCTGGCAAACCTTGCGCGCCGTACCCCTCATGACTGGGTATCATGAGCTTCCTGGTCTCACCGATCCGCATGCCCATGCACCCCTGCTCCCACCCAACAACTTTCTTTCCGGCACCCGCTACAAACAAATGAGGCCCGCGAGGGTCCTCTTTCGTTGACCAGAAAGTTCTCCCCGACTTCTTAACCAAGCCAACAGCATGCACTACAACCTTGCAGCCCGAAGACACCACTCTGACGGGATCTCCCTCTTGCAAGATCTGATAAGTGGTTGCAAAGCCTCGAATCTCAGTTCCCAGCTCCTCAATTGCGAGCTTCTCATCAGACTTTGCTTTCTGCAGCGATGAAAAAACTTTCTCCAAGGAAGCGGCCGCAGACGTGTCATCTTCAGCGTCGCCAGCTGCTGGATATCCAGCACGTTGCAGATCACTGAAATTCAGCTGCTGCAGTGTTTGTCTCTTTGGTTCAGGTTCTCCTGTCTCGATTGTATCGTCAACAACGGCATCCTCTTCCTCATCTGACAGCAATGCGAGGGCATCCATCAGTACAACATGGGCCTGAGCCCTGCCAAAACAAACACCTTTGGACCAGAGCAGCTACGTACGGATGACGATGCGGTTCGACGAAGCGTACGTAGATCGTCTACTCTCGCATTGCTGTACACGTGTACGGCCAAGGTGTGAAGCGCAGAACGTCTGACACACAAAACACCTCGAACCCGCTCCAATAAAACCACCAACGTCCCGTCCCGTCTCCTCCCGTGCCGCACGCCCCGCCACCTTCCCGCCCAGCCTGCCACAGGCATGAGGCCCTGGCGCATGGGCGTGAGATTCGAAGCTTCCGATCGAAGCAGAACGGCAATGGAAAACCGTGTGGGTTTCGCATTGAGTTCAGCGTTATCGCCTTTTCGGTCTCAAGAGCATCCAAAGCGCCCCAAGATGCCCCTCAGTCTGCCCTAAGTCAACCCGCGAGGCTTGCAAGAGCCGCCCCAGAATTCCCAAAGACGGCCCCATCAGGGGCCAAAGAAGGAGCCACCGCCAGACCACCGCTTGAAGCCTCCCCTCTATGGCCCCCAGACACCCTGGAGGTCCCTAAGAAGCGCTCGAGAGGTGCCCAAGAGGCTCCGAAGAGTCTCGCGGACGGCGCCCAAGATGCACCAATCAGACCCCCAGGGTAGTCTCAAGCGGCCCTCTCCCTAAGATGCTGCGATCTCCCCGACTATGTTCACTGCACTCCGCGCCCACAACCCAGGCACGGTGGCGGGAAGGGCCAAAGGCCATGTCCGCCGCCCCCTGTCGATTCATCGCAGGGGTGCCTGGCGTGCTGAACCCTCTCGGTTTGGGCTGTGGTTCTTTTTCCAAAAGAACTCCCCCTGGGGCTTCGGCCCTTCCCGCCGGCCACCCGGAAAGGAGCTCAATTGCACAAGTTGTCATCCAAGACGGCTCAAGATGGCCTCCATGATGGCCACGTTGGCCCAAGATGGCCTCCAAGATGGCCTCCAAGTTCGCCCAAGAGAGGAGATGCCTCCAAGTCCGCCCAAGAAATCTCCAAGACGGCCCAAGGCGGCCCAAGAGGTGCCCAAGAGGCCTCCAAGACGGCCCAAGACGCCTCCAAGAGGTCCTCCAAGAAAGCCCGAAGAGGCCACAATCATGAATTATCCTTAGGTTTTTACAAATTTGTCGTATTTGCGCCAGTTCGGCTTTCCGACGACCCAAGACGGCCCAAAGGGCCCCCAAGATCGCCCCCACAGCACCCAAGAGGCCTCCAAGATGGCCTCAGGACTGCCCAAGAGGCCCCCAAGACGGCCCAAAGAGGGCACAAAGACGACCCAAGAGGCCTCCAAGACGCCCAAAATGGCCTCTAAGACGGCCCTGGAGCATCCCAAGAGGGCCCCAAGTCGGCCCAGAGAGGCCCCCCAAACGGCTTCCGACTGCGTCAGACGGGCCAGGAGCCCACCAAGATGGCCGAAGTTGGCTCGAAGCTGGCCCAAGACAGCCCACGAGGCCTCCAAGAGGGCCTCCAGGAAGGCTAGAAAAAGGCCAAAAGCATGGATGAGCCTTAGGTTTTTGACGGATTTTGACATTTGCTTCTTTTCGGCCTTCCGACGGCCCGAGACGGCCCAAGAGCGCCCAAAGATCGCCCAAAGATCGCCCAAGAGGCCTCCAAGATGGCCCCAGCACGGCCCAAGAGGCCCCCAAGACGGCCCAAAGAGGGCACAAAGACGACCCAAGAGGCCTCCAAGACGCCCAAGATGGCCTCTAAGACGGCCCTGGAGCATCCCAAGAGGGCCCCAAGTCGGCCCAGAGAGGCCCCCCAAACGGCTTCCGACTGCGTCAGACGGGCCAGGAGCCCACCAAGATGGCCGAAGTTGGCCCGAAGCTGGCCCAAGACGGCCCACGAGGCCCCCAAGAAGGCCTCCAGGAAGGGCCGACAAGGCCAACATCATTGATTTCCCCTGAGTGTTTGCAGGATTGTGGCATTTGCTTTTGTTCTGCCTTCCAACGGCCTGAAACGGCCCAGGTGCCCCAAAGATTTCCCAAGAGGCCCAAGACGGCCCCAAGAGGCCCCCAAGACGGCCCAAGAGGCCTCCAAGACGCTCAAGATGGCTTCCAAGACGGCCCAAGAGCCCTCCAAGACGTCCTCCAAGAAGGCCCGAAAGGGTCGAAGTGGCCTCCACACGGCCAAGATGACATTCAAGATGCCCACGTGTTCCCCGAAGGCTTTCCAAACCGATTCGGGGAACACATGGTCCGATAGCTTGGCAGGTCTGGCCTCAACGTTCGGCCACATAGGCGCTTCCAAAAAGGCAGGGGGCGGCGGTAATTCGCCGTAGGCGTCTTCGATACCCCCGTCCCTTGCTGAAGCGCTCCCCGCCATGTGCGCGACCGAAGGGAGGCGGTGGGAAGGATATTCGCGCGCTGCCGTCTTCCTTCTCCCTGAGCGCTGCTTCGTCGCGGCCGAGGCCCCACAAGAAGACTGGCTAAGGTTCGTCCCGACTGAGCCCTGGTGGATATGGGAAAGGCAAGTATCGTGAGACGACCTGGATGTGTGTAACGTGGGGCTGGAGTCGGGTTAAGAAGGCTCGGCATGGGGAGGTTGTTGGATTTCACAAGCTCGCTGAGCACAGGAAACAACCCACCAGAGGAAACACCCTTGATGAGGTCATCTCTGAAAATCTCAGCGGCAAGCAGCTACGCACCTGTGAGGGGCGGCGAATGGACGGTGCGAGGCCATCGGCTCACCGACGAAATGGCCAAGAACAGGTCCTTGGCGGGTACCCGAAGGGCGACTGAATTTGACAGACACGTGCAAGCGCAAGGCCTGGTACACACCTGGCTGAACGCTCACGTTTTGTCAGTCCGGTACTGGTGGGATCGGGGGCGCCAACAAAGTGTCACTGGAGTTGGACTCGGTCACTAGAGGTCTCATGACTTCGCCATTCGCTGTGCGCGAAGGGCGGGCTGTCTACGCACCATCGCGCCGCCCCCCTGAATAATGACACCTCATTATCGCCCAGAACAGACCGCGATGCGCAAACCTAGATCATCTTCGCACCCGTGAGGGTGACCAAGGGAATACCCCCCAAAACGACGCATCGTAACAACAGCTGGATCACGGGCATTAGAGTTGCTCCCACATCGAGTTTTACGAAGCGCAGGCCAGAGAACTCCTCTGATATCCTTCCTCTCCGCCTCCTCACTCCCCCCTCCTTCTCCATCCGCCACCCCTCTTCTCTTTCCCTACGGCGGCGACATTGACGCGGACGCAGACGACGGTGATACAGACAACGACGCTGACGACAGGGACGCTGGCGACGACAACGCTGACAACGACGACGACAACCGCAGTGACGCTGACGACGCCGCCGACGACGACGCGACGACGACGACGACGACGACGCGACGACGACGACGACGACGACGACGACGACGACGACGACGACGACGCCGCGACGACGACGCGACGACGACAATGACGCGGCCCTGCCCCGGCCGCCGGCATCGTCGCTTTGAGACGGCTGGCCCAGGATGCGAACCGCACGAAGGTCACGTGTCCGAGCCTAGCCGGCCGGCACGGAGCCGCCCCTCGTCCTCCTACCTGTCCACCTGGTTCCTCCTCCTCCTCCTCATCATCATCCTCATCCCTCTCCCTCCGCCTCCTCCTGCCTCATTCTCTTCCTCCAAAGTACCTTCCCCTCCATCCCCAACTCCTTCCTCCTCCTACGACTAATTACTCCTGGTTGTCCGCCTCCTCCTCCTCCTCTTCCTCCTCCCCGTCCTCCTCCTCATCCTCCTCCTCCTCCTCTTCCTCCTCCTCATTCTCCTCCCTCCTCAGCTCTTTCCCTCCTCTCTCTCTCTCTTCCCTACCTCCTCGTCTTCCCCTTCCATCCTCTCCTCCTCCTCCTCCTCTACTGCCATCCCCCTCTCCTCTCCTCTTCCTCTCCTCTCCTCCCCTTTCCCCTTCCTCCTTTCCTCTCTCCTCCCTCCGCCTCCTCCTCCTCCTCCTCCTCCTCCTCCTCCTCCTCCTCCCCCCCTTGCCTCTTTCCTCTTGCCGTCCCTCATCCGAGCCTGTGGCGCCTCGGGAGCACGGGATTGGTCCCCGAGCCCGCGCTCGACGACTTCCCCTTACCCCCCCCCGACGACGACGCTCGACGTCGACGGACGACCACTCTCGCCAGGTCGGGCATGTCCTCCTGCAGGCGGACTCTGGAAGAAAAAAATCCAACACGGTCCAGAGATGCCCCAAACAGCCAGGGGGGTCCAGCGCCGATCCGAGAAACCCGCGCGGACCTCCGAGTTTTTACGTTTACGTCACTTTTGGTTCCCCTATGTCCTCCCGTGGAGGGACGTGCCCGACGGAACGCTCGCGGGCACCTTCTCGCCCCCCTCCCCCCCCCAAGGCCGCTCCGGAGAGGCCGCTCCTGGGGGCTCCAGGGGGGGGGGGGCCCAGGACGGCCCAAGGATAGGCCTTGGGGGGGCCCCTCCACCCCAAGGCCTACCCGGAGAGAGGCCGCTCCTGGGGGCTCCAGGGGCGGGGGGAAGGGCCCAAGACGGCGGCGGCCCGCGGCGGAGAGCCGGCCCGCGGGGAGGGGGCCGAGGGCTCCGGAGAGCCCGGAGAGCCGGGAGCCGTCGTGGATGGCGACGCGCTGCCTACAGTGCAGTTTTTAATACAGTCGGGGCGTTGACCTAAGGAACCCTAAATAAGGAACGAGGCCCCATTTTTTCCATAAGTTAAACTTCGATTTCCTATCGAAGACACAAGGAAAACATGAGGCAAGCTGTGAAACACTCAAGGAACGCGGAGCCCCTCCCCAACCAAAAGGGTTCCTTCTTCAGGGCCCCGACTGTACATGCTCCGCGTGCGGATCGTGTACTAAAGATGCCGGGTTTAGCATGAAAAACAACGATGGGTTCATGCGTAAATTCATTCATAACTTAATCATGTATCAAAAATCCTATATTAAAAAAAAGAATCCTATGTGTTAGAAACTGCCCTGTAAAGGCCTAGACGCCCTCGGCCGAAGGCCGAGACAAGAAGTGTGGGGTTCAGAAGAAAAGCTGCCCTGTAGCAGCCTCGTGGCCACCCCGGGGGGCGGAAACAGCTGTGACAAGGGCTGCCCAGAGATCTGCTCGCGTCCTGGAGCAAAAATCAGGACGGGAGGTTTTTGAAGAAGGTCGGCCTCTCGGGGCCCTTACGGGGCATCGGGACCATCAAAAAATGAGCGGGGATGAGAAATCGGCCCCAGGGAAGGGGTCTGGACTTCTATGGGCTCCTTAGTGAAACAAATCAAGACATCGCGTGTCTGGGGAGGGCCGAAGGGGAAATCTGAGTAAAGCCTGGATGAAGCAACGATGCTGCAGCCCCCCCTCCCGACCCAAGCGTCCTCCTCAGAAGTCCATACCGAACTTCGTTTTCACTGCAAGGGGCACCCCGTTCAAGGATGAGCACCCCTTGGTCGCGCCATTCCGACGAGAGCCCCGCATTGAAAAGGACCTGCCACGCGTCATTCTAGAGACGGTTAATTACCAGCCTGGAACATATCCCTATCCCCATGCTGGGCACCTCCTATGCCGATCTCAGGGCTTCCCTTATGTTTGGAGGGCGGATCCCTAAGATCGTCATCGCCTTGTGGCGTGTCAATCGTAAGGACAGGGATACGCTCGAGGCTGGTAGGTTAACAAAATTCACCAAGGCAGGGTGAGAAAGCTCGACGCGGCGTCCAGCGAGGGCCCCAACTTCACGCGCCAGAGCTGGGCAAATGTTCTCCGCTGGCCGCTTCGGCGCCGGGCGCCTCGCGCGAGAGAGCCCCAAGACTGAAAAAGGAGGCGCCCTCGATGCGTGCAGCTGCTGCAGGATCAACCTGCTGGCCAGTCGGAGAGAGAAGGCACAGGAGAGAGCCACACGCTTGGAAAGGGAGGCGCCTTACATACTCAATCGAAATCTGAGGCAAGGCTGTGACAGCGAATTCGAAAGCCACTGCGGCGACAGCCCAACTTTGGAAACGTACCGTCCCCCATCCTTGTAGCCGTTGAAAAATTGTGAGACGAGTGTGCGCGGCGTCGAGGACAGAACCCCATTTTGGAAAGGACCTGCCCTCCACCCGTGCAAGTTTTGCTAATTCTACAAACGAAGATGCGCGGCGAAAACGCGAAAATCGCAATTCGGAAAGGGACCTGCATCCATCTCTGCAGATGTTGGAAATGTGAATGCCGGGGCCACCAAATGCGGGATGCACTGCAATTTCTTTTCAACTCGAGGCATTCGTCCAATCAGCAGTCGCACATGTCTTTGGGGGGGACGTCTTGTAGTGAAGACTTGCAAGGGCGTACGCGGATGGAGCTTGGGACGAGAGGGTGTGTGGCAGCATCTTTTAAGCGTTTTTGGTTATCTCTGGTCCTCGTCGTTTTGCGCAAGAACCAACTCGGGGAAGATCCATCGAATCAGCCAAAACCACCGGGGTACTGAGATTCGCCGCCCACCCACCCACCCCCGCCGCTCGGGGAATGTAGTGGAGACGAGGAGGCCACACCTCTTCAAGCCATCGTGTTCCCATGAGCAGCACAAAATGTTACCCATCGAGGGCCCCAGACAGTGTTTATAGCAATATATGGTGTGCAATATACGTGGTGCATTCCACTCTGCTGAACTTGAAGTCGTCATCTCCACTGCTCGCGCAAACATCCCACCCACCCACCCGCAACTTGGTTTGCAAAACCTGTTAAGACCGGCTACGACGACACCAACGACAACGACGACGACGACACCGACGACGTCTCCGACGACTTCGACGACGACACCGACACCGACGCCGACGACGACGAAGACGACGACGACGACGCCAACGAAGACGACGACGAGGGAGGAGGAAGGACGACGACGGCGACAACGACGACAACGACGACAACGACGAGGGAGGAGGGAGGACGGCGACGCGAACGACGACGAAGGAGGAAGGACGGCGATGCCGACGACGACAACGACGAGGGAGGGAAGACGACGACGACAACGACGACGACGACGGCGACGAAATAGGAGGGACGACGACGAGACGCCGACGACGGACGACGACGACGACGTGGGAGGAGGAGGAAAGACGACCACGGCGACAACGACGACGGAAACGACCACGACGCCGAAGAGGACGACGACGACGAACACGAGGAAAGACAGAGGACGACGTAGGCGACGACGACGACGACGACGCGGGAGGAGGGAGGACGGCGACGACGACGACGAAGGAGGAAGGACGGCGACGCCCACGACGACAACGACGAGGGAGGAGGGAAGACGGCGACGAAGACAACGACGAGGACGACGACGACGACGGCGACGAAATAGGAGGGACGACGACGAGACGCCGACGACGGACGACGACGACGACGAGGGAGGAGGAGGAAGGACGACCACGGCGACAACGACGACGGAAACGACCACGACGCCAAAGAGGACGACGACGACGAACACGAGGAAAGACAAAGGACAACGTAGGCGACGACGACGACGACGCGGGAGGAGGGAGGACGGCGACGACGAAGACGACGACGCAAGAGCGCGCGCGCACGCTTTTGTTGAAAAACCGTGTTGCGAAACCTTGGATTGTTGTAGGTTTTTTGGACGCGCGATTTCGAAATCCTTCCGAAACCGATGGGTGTTGAAGGATTTCGGCGTACGCGCGCGACGACGCGCGCGTCTGCCCTTCGTCCCATTTGTTGCAGAGGATTCTCGCGACGGCACACGCGCAAGGGCGTTCGACAGATTTCGACATGCGCGCGCGACGCCCGTTTGGTAGCATTTTGTGAAAATCTTGAAAAACCCATGGTTTTCTTCAGATTTCGCAAGAGCTCGCGCGGAAGCTTTCTTAGCAAATCTGTATTGCGAAACCCTGTTTTTGTATGCTTTTTGGGAAACACGATTGCGAAATCCTTCTGGTACCGAAGGTTTTGGAAGGATTTCGGCATGCGCGCGCGACGACGCGCGCGTGTGCACTTCGTCCCATTTTTTGCAAGGGATTCGCGAACAAGTGCGATGTTAGAACAAACAATGTCACCGCATAATGTTTTTTTTTTTACAAGGGGACCTCAGGGGGGGGATACCGGTTTGGCTGGGATGATATGATTTCATGTTTAGGATGGACGAGTGTGCAGAATATGTATATATACATATATATATATACATGAAATTATACTATCCCAAGGGGAAGCGTTAAGTCCGGGGGGGTAGAGTCTATTCTCTTTTTAGAAGGGAGAATCTATGTTGTGCACCCTATGTTGCGCAACGCATGTTGTGCAACCGACGTGATGGATTCTATGTGGTCCAATATGCATTGTGCAAGCTATGTGGTGCACTGTAAGAGTTGGAAAATATGTGGTACAGTGTATGGTGTGCAAGCTACGTGGTGGAACCTGCGTGGTGAATTCTCTGTGGGCAATATGTGTTATGGAAGTCATGTGGTGCAATGTATGTTGCGCAAGCCATCTAGTGCTATCTACGCGTCTCAATACATGCTGTGCAAGCTACGTGGCGCAGTCAACATTGAAAAATACGTGTGGTGCAATCTGTGTTGTGCAATCTATGTGGTGCATTCTATGTGTTGCGCCCTATGTGGTGCAATATATGGTGTGCAGGGCATACTGTGCAATAAATGTTGTGCAGCCCATGTGGTGCAACCTATGCGGTGCAATTCACTTTGACTGTCTTGAAGCTGCCCTCTCCGCTGCTCATGCAAACATCCCGCCCTCCCACCCGCGACTTGGTCGCAAGACTTCTTAAGACCGTGACGGTGGGTACCAAATGGCACTCGGCAACGACAGCGACGCCGACGACGACAGCGACAATGACGACGACGACGACGCCGACGACGACGACGACTACGACGACACCGACGACGACTCCAACGACTTCGACGACGACAACGACGACGACGACGACGGCGACACCGACGACGACGACGACGACGACGACGACTACGACGCCGACGCCGACGCCGACGACGACGACGACGATGACGACGGCGACGACGACGGCAGCGACGACGACGCCTACGACGAGGACGACGACGACGACGCCGACGACGACGACGACGACGACGCCGACGACGACGACGACGACGTCGCCAACGAAGACGACGCCGACGACGAGGGAGGAGGGAGGACGACGACGGCGACAACGACGACAATGACGACGGAGGAGGGAGGACGGCGACGACGCGAACGACGAAGGAGGGAGGACGGCGACGCCGACAACAACAACGATGAGGGAGGAGGGAGGACGACGACGACGACGACGACGACGACGACAACGACGACGGCGACAAAATAGGAGGGACGACGACGAGACGCCGACGAAGGACGACGACGACGAGGGAGGAGGAAGGACGACCACGGCGACAACGACGACGGAAACGACGACGACGCCAAAAGGGACGACGACGACGACGAGCAAAGGCATAGGACGACGACGGCGACGACGACGACGAGGGAGGAGGGAGGACGGCGACGACGACGACCACGCCAGAGCGCGCGCGCACGCTGTTCCTGATAATATATGTTGCGATAACCTGTGTTACTGTATTTTTTTTGGACACTAGATTTTGAAATCCTTCCGGAACCGAGGGTTCTTGAAGGATTTCGGCATTCGCGCGCGACGACGCGCGCGTGTGCACTTCGTTCCGTTTTGTCGCAACGGACTCTTGAAAATTTATTACTTGTGACAAATGAATGTGCGCGCATTGTTTTTGTTGCAAAGGGTGGCGGGGGGGCGATACCGGCTGGACTGGGATAGTATGACATCATATTTAGGATAGACGATGGGGCAGAATCATATGCAAATTGCAATACGAATACGGGGATCGTTAACTCCGGGGGGAGAAAGGGGTAGAGTCGATTTTTCATTTTGAAAGGAACAGTGACTACCTTGCACCGCGCCTGACCACCTCCCATGCTGTTGAAAACATCCCACCCACCCACCCGCAACTTGATACGCAAACCCAATGCGGCGGCGATTGCGATGAGTGCTTGGCGTTGGCTGGTGCATCTCTGCGGCCGCGCTAGCGCGCGCACAGCGGCCAGCTAGTTTGGCGCGACCGACGCGGCCGCGGTGGCGCTGACCGCTGGGCACATCCCAGCGGGCACTCCAGTGCGAGTCGGCGACTTGGGCGGGCGCGGTATCATGGCGACGCCGACAACGGTAGACACGATTATGGGAGTAGCGATGGTGACGGAGGTGGCGATGACGACGGCAAGGCCAATGACGGCGCCGATGCTGATCACACCGACGACGATGACGGCGTCTTCGCGTCGGTGGTAAAGGTTTCGGAAAGAGATCGACATGCGAGCGCGGCCGACGCGCGAAAGTAGCTGCATGGTACGTTTGGACACGCATCGTGCCCCCCCATGCAGCTGTTGAAGACGTTAAAGTTTCCCGAAGAATTCGCAAGAGCGCGCGTGCAAGTTTTTCTATTGAAACTCAGCGTTGCGAAACCACGTGCTTTATATGTTTCTTGCACACTCGATATTACAATCCTTACGAAACGTATGGGTTTTGAAAGATTTCGTCATGCGCGCGCGACGACGCGCGCGTGTGCACTTCGTCCCATTTGTTGCAAGGGTTTTTCACAATTGATGACTGTTGATAAACAAACGCGTGCGCATAGTATTTGTTGCAGAAGATGGCGGGGGGTGTCGATACCGGCCCGCCTGGGATGGTGCGAAGTCAGATTTAAGATGGACGATGGATCAGAATCACATCTAAGTTGCCAAACGAAAAGGGGGCGGATAATCCCCGGGGGTGGGGTGTACAATCGATTCTCGTTTAAGATAGGAGGATATGTTGTGCAAGCTATAAAGTGAAACCAACGTGGTGCAATGTATGCGGTGAACTCTCGGTGCAATCTACGTTGTGCAATCCAGGGGGGCCTCGAGGCGGCGACGGAGCAGCGACGGCGACAACCTAGCCGCAAGACCGACGGGCAGGCCCAGACGACGGGCGGCGACGAGGCGGCGACGAGGAAGCGATGGCGGCCATGTAGCCGCCAGATCGACGGGCAGGCCCAGGCGACGGGCGGCGACGAGGCGACGAGGGGGCGGCGACGGCGGCCACATAGCTGCCAGACCGACAGACAGGCCCAGTGCCTTAGAAAACACATGAGAACCCCCAAGTGCCAGCATTGTTTGGGTCAATAAGGAACAGATCTCCTGGCCACGGCGAGCCTCGGCCATACGAAGGGCGCGAAAACCAGAGCCCCTCCTGAGCCCAATGATGTCATCCTCTCAACGGCGTGACCGTATCCATGTGGCTTGAGTTGGGACTGGAGTGATGATTGAATGAATGCTTGGGGCTCCGAATCTCTTGCTGAGGATCGGGTGCCACAACTTGTGTCGATCGGCCACCCTCCTATTATGCCCCCGCTCCCTGGACCAACGCCCCCATCCTCCCTCCTGAGGGCCGCGCCTCTTGCCGCCAGCTGCATCCCAAGCCTCCTGCGGGCCGTCGGGAGGGCAGAACAAGGAACTCCTGGGGGGCTCCTCGCAACAGCTACATTCGATTCGAGATACTGGCGTCGATGTCTAGGAGAAGACATGTATACACCACCACTGGGGGCACCAAAAGGTACCGACACCGCTTCTGCCCGGACCTCTCCCGGGGAGCATCCTGACAGAATTTCAGAGAGAATCCAGCGGTGGAGACGAGGGCCTCCAAGGAGGCCCCTGAAGGCGAAACCGAGGAAAGGGTAGCAGCATGGGTACCCTTTCCTCCTCGGACATACACGCCACCGCCACCACCGTGCATGGCCAGGGCCATCCTGGGCCCTGGCATGGTGTGTGTACGCCCTCCTGTCCGAGGCCCAGGACGATCTGAGTACCGTCCAGGGGCCCAGGAAGGGCCCGGCCAGGTACGGGGGTAGCGTATGGACGCCTTCTGCGGATCAGATGGGGGCCATAACCAGCCTCGAACTTATGTCTGCCAACTAAGATTGACAAGCCAGCAGGCGATGACAATCTTAGGGAAGCAACCTCAGAAACCGAGGGAACCCCTGAGATCGGCATCGAGATGAGGCGATGCCAAGCATATGGATAGGGATACGCTGCAGGCTGATGGGATCACGTGCTAGAGGATACTTCTGAAGGGCTCCTTGTGGAGGGTCCCAGGGCACAGGCCTAATCCCCTTCGGCGCCAGTACAGAGTACCACTAAGCGAAGCACAGATGCTAGTACTGATATCGCACCTGGTAAGCTGGCCCAAAGAGGGGTACGAATTTGGCCACACATGAAATGAATACAACTGTCACCATGGCAACAGCTACTACAACTACGGCTGTCGCTCCAATGGGACGTACCTCTGTTCTGACGTGGTGTCTTGCACTGCGGTTCTGAGAAGTATGCGGCGTAAGCTATGCAGTGTGAACTATGCTGCGTTAGATGGGTTGTTCAAGTTATGTGGTTTCGGCTGTGCGCTGGAAGCTGTGCGGGGTCAGCTATGTGGTGTGCAGTAAGCTGTGCGGGGCCAGCTGTTAGGAAAACCGCTGCTGGTTTTTCAACATGTTCATGGAATTCTGCCAAACGGGCTTCTCGTGCCGCATACCGAAGAAATCATTCGAACGCCCTTGCGCGCGTGCTGGGGGGCACGATGCGTGTCAAAAAAATACGATTCGGGCCACTCTCGCGCGTCGACCGCGCGTGCATATCGAATTCCTTCCAAAACCTTCATCAACGACGCGAGGACGCCGTCATCGTCGCCGGCGTGATCAGCATCGGCGCCGTCATTGGCCTTGCCGTAGTCGTTCTCAACACCGTCACCAGCATGGCTACTATCATCATCGTGTCTACCGTTGCAAACGTTGCCATGATACTGCGCCCGCCCAAGTCGCCGGCTCGCACTGAAGTGCCCGCTGGGATGTGCCGGGCGGTCAGCGCCACCGCGGCCGCGTCGGTCGCACCAAACTAGCTGGCCGCCGTGCGCGCGTGCATGCGCGCGCTAGCGCGGCCGCAGAGATGCACCAGCCAACGCCAAGCACTCATCGCAATCGCCACCGCATTGGTTTTGCGTATCAAGTTGCGGGTGGGTGGGTGGGATGATTGCGCCAGAAGTGGAGTTGTCAACTTTAACCTGAACATTGGTGAACTGCACCACGTAGACTGCACCACGTAACTTGCACCACAGATTTTGCACAACATATGTTGCACCACGTAGGTTTCACCACTTACATTGCACCGCATCGTATGCTAGAACACACTGGTTGGGGTGCAGGCTGGCTAACATGTGTTCCTTGTACGCGTCCAGCCTGCAGTTTTTCTGGCGCCCAGCAAATCAAGACGTCCCAAGAGGCTCCCACGACCGCCCCAAGACGGCATAACAGGGGCCGCATGCGGACCCCAAGGCAGCCCACGAGAGCCCCAGGCAAGTCCAAGGAGGCCCCCGACACGGCCTGAAGGGGTCGCCGAGACCCCAGACTGCATCCGAAGGCGCCAGACGGCCCAGGAGCGCCCCCAGACGGCCCCAGAGAGCCCGAGAGACCCCCAGGAGGCAACCAACAATGCCCAAAATAGGGGGCAGACGAACCTACCTCGCTTTTGACAACCCTCGCTTCCAAGAGCTACCAAGCGGTGCCAAACTACGGCCAGCACTGGTCAGACCGCTCGACGGGGAAGCGCGCGGTATGACTTGGTTTTGCCTGGAAGCGAAAGCGGGGTAGGTAATTCACGCTCTGAGAGAAGGTTAAACATAACGCCCAATACAGCCCAACAATCCTCCCCAGTGTTTCCCCAATGGTTTCCCCAACAGCTTCAAGAACACACAATACACTAGCGTGGTCGCTCTTACGAACGAAATGACACGATACGAGCACTATCAAAAGGGGGGGGGGGCGTTGAATCGACATCGTCCCTGGATTGGATCAATAACTGGTTGGATTGGGTCCGAAAGTGTCTGGCTTGGAATGCCCATTGTCTTAGGTCACCCAATGTTTAGGATAACCCATGGGGTCGACAAGTGGAGGGATGCGGTGGCTCGCCATTGTCATCGATAAGCTATTGCCTGGATTGGGTCAACATTTGCCGCCATGACTCATAGTGCGGTGATCGTTGCCGGTGCGATGGGGATGGCAGGCAACAGAACATTTACCAAAACCAGCGTTGACGTTAGCAACACGCGTACACAGGAATACGCATCGCAGCAACGAGTCTTAAACATTTCAGCATCATTGTATGATACCACGCGCACGCATTATGTTACAACTGTCGTTATTGCACGATCAAGAAGGTGAACGGGAGCAGGAGTAGGACAAGAAGGATGATATCTCCAAGCACGGCCGGTGGAAGGAACAAAGAACCCATGAGGAGAAGGGTGAGGGCGACGACGGCGAGGACGACGATGATGAATAGAAGCCATGCGAAGATGGCTACGAGCATAGGGCAGCTCCTCCACGCTGCCGCCGTCTTCGAGTAATTGCTGGGCGGCCAGCTGGAAGTGGCTGCAGCTCAGATGCCCCGTCTCCTGCAAGTGTCCTCCTCCTCCACCTCCTCATTCTCCTCGTGCTCCTGCTCCTCATCACTCCCCTCCTGGGGGCAGGAGGGGAGGCGGCAGGAAAAGGTGGGAAGGAGGGTCAGCATGAAGGATGGGAGTGGAAGAGGTGAAGAAAAAGGAGGTTCGGGAGGCGGGCGGGATAGAAGGGGGACAGGAGGAGGAATAGAGAGAATGACCTGGGGATGGGCAGGACGAGAAGGAGCAACAGCAGCACAGCAGGGCCACAACCGCGGCAGCATTCGCGCGGGCATGAGCACAGGCACGAACAGGAGAGCAGGAGCAGGAAAACAAGCGGGAGCAGGCCCGTGCCCAGAACCAGCAGCGATAGACAAGCAGCATGCGCAGCAGCTGGACAGGGAGCAGCAGCAGCGGCGACAGGAACGAGAGGGCGCGAGCACGTGCCAGAGGACGCGCCACACGCGCCAATACATGTTCACACACGCGCGCACGCTGATTCATGAGCATGGGACACGCACGCACGCACGCACATACGCACGCACGCACGCACGCACGCACGCACGCACGCCGAGCGCGCACACACACACACACACACACACACACACACACACACACACACATATATGTATATCGCTCGTAGCCAGGCATATATATATACACACACACGCGCACAACAACACAACAATCATTTTCAGACTGTTGGCTCTTACTGGCACGCGTGTCTTGCGTTCTGTATACTCCCAACCCTCGATACCCGCCCAATTCATCTTCGATTGTATCCCGTTTCGGGGGGAATATCTTCCTTGCCGGCCACTGTCGGAAGTGCGAGGAAGTCTCGAACGAGAGCGCCGTTCCTGAGTTCGGTGGCCTCTCTGACCAGGGACTCTCGTAATACCAATGGAGAAATATCGAACGGGAATCCTTGTCGCCATGTCTGGGCCTCCACCAACTTGCCGGAGTTACGAGAAAGTCTTAAGCGAGAGCGCCGTTCCTGAGCTCGGGGGCCTTCCTGGTCAAGGGCTCTCGGAGAAAATCATGAGGAAGTCTCGAACAGGCGCCCTTGTCGTCGTGGCTGGGCCTCGGCCAGCTTGACCAGGGTGTTTCGGGGTAAATTGTGGGGCAATATCGAACGGGAGCCGTTGTCGTCGTAGCTGGGCCTCCAAGGGCCCACATTTAGACTCAAGCCAACGCTTGCGCGGGAACGTCGTTATCAGAGGAATGGTAGCTGGCGTCGAAGTAAGAGCGCGCGGAACCGTTTCCGAAGATCTGCAGCATTCATTATTTAGAGATGAATACTCAACAACAACAACCAACAACAACAACAACAACCAACAACAACAACAACAACAACAATCACTTTACCCGAACGCTCAGTGTTCTCACCAGTGCCAGGGTTTTCATGCGACGCCAGCCAATACCCCCACTTTGTGGGGGGGCAGTGCAAGCTCTACCAAATATCCACACGACTCTTCGCCACCACCCACACCCAGCTTCCCGCCCTATGACGTTCGGACACTTCAC